TACTTTAAGTCTCCTTCATCAAAACCCCGACAACAACATAACTCTTAAAGGAATTATAAATACTGTTTTACTTCATACAGAGACAAACTTTACAATGTTGAAAATACATTTGTTTAAGCTGCGTTCAGACGGGACCGACTCCACAGAGGGAGGAGGGGAGACATCCACCATGTGCTCGTTTGTAACTGAACTCAGGTTTGAGATATTTAGGATTTGGTCTATGACTGAGACGTTTGATGTTTGTAATTATAAAGTCATGACCCGTTAATGTTGACCCCCCCGCCTCCCTTGGAGACATGGATCCGGCCTGAACGGGGTTTTACAGTAACGTTTGTACTCGTGATCTGCTGATTATCTTTGCATCAAACTTCTTTACATTTCACACACTGCCTTCAACATAAATTAAATAAAAGCTTATACTTGGTTTCACCAGAAGTGATTGTTTGGTCATCATTTTATTGTAATATGTTTGAGATTCAGCTTCGAGTTTTAAAACTTGAATACAGATAATAACACATAAACGGAGCAGCCGTTCCACTGTTAGCAAACAATATTCAACTAGAACTAGTTCAGGTTGTTCAATTAGCGTTGTGGAAATAAAATTGTAATTTCCAGTGAATTTCAGAGAAAAAGTCTGAAAATAAATTGATGATTTCAAGCGTCAGTATTTATCGAGGTGAAGTCGAAATTTCACAATAAAATAAAATCTTGAAAATAAAGTTTTAGTTCGCGAGATAGATCGTAGACGTACGAGTATAAAGTTGCAAATTAAATTAAATTTGTAATTATTAAAAAACAAAATTTGAGTCATTTATTTATTTAGTCATTTATATTCTTATATTTATAATTGTAATAATACATTAATATTTAATCCTTCAAAAATCGACTTAACTCTTGAAATATATTTTCTTGTAAAATTACAACTTTATTCTCGATTTTTAATTTATTTCTCATCAGATTTTGACTCATACTTGTACATTTTGTGTATTTATGATTTTATGATCTTGCCGCTACGACTTGTATTTATATTCTCCAATTCTCCATCTTGTGTCCAGAACTTATCTTTATTTGTGATTGAGGAATCTAAACAACTTATTTTTGTTAAACTGTTAAACTCTGATTGAACGATTGAATGTTTTTGTATATTTATTTTCAGAGGGAAAGAAATTTTAAAAAAGCTGAAAGCTCCTCAGACGGGTTGAAATGCAGACATATTTAAATGTGTAACTCCTCTTTTCATGCCACTTGTCTTCATATATTGGAGTGTTACATGTACATAAAGTAAATATCATATTTTGGACAGAAACCCACCAAAGACAACAGACCACTGACGTCACAGTCTTTTATCGTGGTCGTTGAAAACAACCAAACGTCGGGAGGGAGGGACCAGGACGACTGGGAGGGCGGGGCTTTCGGGGCGTGGTCTGCTGTGATTGGAGGGCGGGGCCGTCCGTCGGTCACAGCTGGTCTTTGTAGTAGCCGAGCTTGGCGAAGGACATTTCCCTGCGGAGCTGCATCACCTCCCAGAACATCTGCTCCGCTGCAAACACAGCAGAGAGCAACACCACCGGGTCACATGGTTTCTTCAGTTAACCAACCACGTTCATTTACTGGAGTACTCGAGTATTTCCATTTTCTGCTACTCTGTTTCCTGTGTGTGTGTGTGTGTCTCTCACCATCCTGCTGTTTGACCAGCCCTTGGTAGATGTAGCGAATGTAGGTGAAGAAATTGCACACTGCTGTGATCTAAGAGAAAAGACAAAGAGACAGAAACACCGTCCCAACGTCTTTGAGTCGAACAGAACTGAGAACAAACTTCTGAAGATGTTCTTTTTTGTTGTTTGTGTTTGAGTCGGTACTCACTTTATATCGACAGTACGGAGACACGTAGTAATAGTTGGACGAGTCTCCAAACTTGATTCTGTGCTTACAGGTTTTGGTCTGACCGCTCAGCGCACATTTCCTATCAGAGAGAGACACAAAGAGACAAAGACACGGAGTTATTTGTGGGTTTCGATGTCAACGTGAGGAAGAACTGAACAAAAACTGGGACTCGGAGGAAGCAAGGAAAGGAAGTAAAGAGAGAGGGACGGCTGTTAAACATTCATTAAAGGTTTGTCTCATTGGGATCGCTGTGATAAACCCGAACAGAAGGATGTTTACGAGTCTGAAGGGTGTTTGTTAGGAGGAGCAACTGAGGAGATTCAAAGGTGCTGATGAGAGAGAGAGAGTCAGACTCACGTGACGAGCTCGTCCTTTCGCCCACTAGAGGAGGAAATTGAGGGAAGATGGAGAGATGACGATGAAAGAGTGAGAGCTCGATGAAGAGGAGGAAGAGTTTTTACATTTATGTGTGTGCGTGTGTGTGTGTGCAGGCTCACTTTGGTCCTCCACACTCCACCGCCGAGGCTTTGACCACAGGCAGCGGCTGGAAGCCGACCGGCTCCACACTGAGCGTGTTCTGCTCCACGGCTTCCAAGATGGCCGATCCGAGCTGAGGGAAGGGAGAAGACGATGACGGACGGCTTTAAAGGACAGGTTCACAACTTTTCTAGTTTGTCTAAAAACTATAGTCAGGTTGTTGTATTTATGCGTTCATTGATTTTAAAACGTCCTTTCCGACACTAGATCTTTGTCTTTGTGGTCGCGTACCTCACACTTGTTGAAGGTGAGGCAGGGGTAGATGTCCTCACGGTAAACTCTCTCCAGGAAGCAGCAGCCGCGTTCGAGCGTCGGCTCCTCCTTCCACGCCTTGAAGTCGCTGAACAGCTGACTGTCCACCTAGACGTCCGATAACACAGGTTACCGTCACACAGTAAAGCTTGAAATCGAGGCCACGGAGAGAACAACATGACAGCAGTTATTATGTGGTGCTACCTCCCGACACTCCCGTACGATGGGCTGCGTGGCCGACGGGTCGGGCTGCGTCCCCAGCATGGCGGAGGAGGTGCTCTTGTTCCTGCTGTGGCCCTTCCTGAAGGGGGTCTTCACGCCTCCTCCCGAAGAGGGGAGCTCGCCAAGCGGGGAGGTGGGGGAGGAGAGCACCAGCGTCTTCAGGGCCTGGACCTCCGCCTGGAGGACGTCGATCTGAAGCGCAGGAGGAAAAACTGTTTTTTTGCTACTTTACGACTCTTTGACTCAAATCCCGATCCCGTCGCCCTGTATTTAGTCCTATTTAACGTTAAACAGGAGCTCGGTCGACAGGAACGTTTGTAGTGAGCGAGTGTTCCGTGTCGTCACCTTCCCCAGGGCTTCTTTCAGTTGTTTTTCAGCGTTCGCCTGTTTGACGTTTGCTTCTCTGACCATCTTGTGGGCCTCCTGTAAAAGAACACACACAAATGATTTGATATTTTTTCCATATTTTCATCACTGGCGATGTAAGTGTTGAGATTCACTTCATAGTGAAGCAGCATCTACACAAGATCGGTGACGTTTAAAGGAACAATTTACTAACATAAATATCAGAAAAACAAAGTAAATGAACTGTTTTGCTGCATAGATGTAAACAGGCTGCAGAAAACACACACACACACACACACACACACACACACACACACACAGATAAGAGTCCCAGCACCTTCTATGAGAAAAAGGCCAAAGAACGAGGAGGAAGAACGACAAGAAGAAAAGGAAAAAACATGTGAAGGCCAGTCGGACAGACTCAGTCTGCTTCAGGAGCTCCAACGTTGAGATTTGTCAAACAAGTCGAAAAAGTCTGGTGTTAAAGTCCAACTGAAATCACAACTAGTCGTCCCTTCTTCTTGGATGCATTGTCAGAATAACACCGGCGCTTTCCTCCAGCCTCTATTATCGATTGATCCAGTAATTATTTGGCAATTAATCGATGAATCGTTTTGGTTTCAATAAAAAAATAGCCATCGCAATATCTTAGAGCGCAAAGTAACGCCATCAAATTCTCCCATATACAGTTAGAACCTGGGTCAGAGCCCCAGATAGCAGCTAACGTGCTAACAGCTAACGTGCTAACAGCGTTTTGTGAAGTCTCATAAACGTCCTCGCTTGAGTCGGTTGGTTCTGAAGACTACAAGTTTGCTACTAACGAGCTTAACACACCTGAATATCTCACTGGACTGGTGTGTGGTCAAGTTGCATTGTGGGTAATGTAGGCTCCAGGAAAAAGAACTAGCGGGATAAGAAAAAGAAAATATCTCAGCTGCATCGATTTTAATCCTTTTTAAACCTTTTAAACTCTTTCTAGTGATTCATTAACAAACGTACGGAGAGCTGAAACAAAGCTTTCTCTCTCGTAGTCGTTTCTATTTTAATCTCTTGATGGAGGATGAAGAAAAACAACCTGAGAGGTCGTAAACCTCACAACGCCTCCATTTCACATCTCTGCTGCCGAAGAATACAGAGCAACCAATCCCGTGAGAATCGTCTTCATATATTTAGTTTTTTTGTCCGGTTTCAGTCTGGCCGCTGCCTCGGGAAGGAAACAGGAAACAGGAAACGGGAAGCAGAGGAGACGGACAGACGGACGGAGGAGGAGGAGGAGGATGAACCGACCTGGAAGAGACTGGCGGTGAGCTCCTCCAGCTCCTGGCCGAGCTGGTCTCTGACTTTAGACAACCTCTCACACTCCTCATCCTTCAACAGCAGCTCCTTCCACACACACACACACACAC